CCCAATTTTCGGCGCCCCCGATGGGTTGATGCGCCCTTAGCATTCGCCTATACTGCCTATGCCAAGGGCCGGCCCTGGTGAAAACAATATGACATCAACAAAAAATAAGACAACTACAGATAGCACCACACATGATGGTTACTTGTTATTATTTAGGGCTGCCTGTATGGATCCGGTTTTTGCCAAAGCGAGCCCTTTTACTAGAATAATAATATGTTATCAGGCCGTTGTGTCCTTGGGCAAGACACTTTACCCGCATTTGCTCCTGTGGGTAATGTCCGCAGTAATGACTCTTACATGTCTAATATGTGTAATGTGTACTTGTAAAGCGCTTTGAGCACCTGTAAAAGCGCTCTAATAACAAATGTAATGCATTATTATATCAACCGTATTGGTACAATGAGCGACATCTAGTGACGGATTTTGGAACATTGATTTGATTTTTCTCATGGCAGTTAGACTCTAGAGACAAACCAGGGGACTATATTTTTTATTTGTAATCTGTGTCTGTCCATTTGGTGTAGTATTTGATCCAATATGACATTTGGTTTATATATTAGTCACTTTCTTATGAAATGCCAGGTTTTAGGCCTTAATTTGAACATTCAATCCTGAAAATAAAAAATCAACCAGATTAATGTTTCTTTAATCCTGACCTGACTAGAGGTAAGTAAATCTGTATAGGAAGACGAGTTAAGGGATAGAGGAGAAAAGGTTATGGTAAAATTAAAATATAAATCTGTCAATTTATAAATTGAGGAAATCAATGTTAGTCTGTTAACCAAAGTGCAGCCATCTATCTATCAACTATCTACTATCTATTATTAAAGATCAGAGGAAAAGAACAGAACGAGAGGGGTAAATCCGGAATAAAAATAAAGAAGCAAAGAGATTGTAGAGCAGTGAGAAGGAAAAAAGCTTGGTGTGTCAATTAATTACAATCGCCCCCTCGGATTTTTTAACAGCCCCCTCAGTAATTTCATCCTGGAGCCGGGCCTGTAAAGGAGGTTATAAAGGAAGTTTGAAACCTCCTTTCCTATCATCTAGAGAATTTGAACGGCCCTTATGATGGCTGCCACTGAGGGACTTCCGGGTCATTTCACTCCGTTAGGAAGGTTCCTATAAAGCTAAACGGACTATTCGACCGCAGCCCAGGTCTCCAACGGTCAGGGCAAAGCACGGCTGCATCAAGCAGCATTCTGCTACTACTACCCCCATTGTGTTTGGAGTGCCAGGACCTGTTCATTGCTGCTTGCAGCTTTGATTTATTATTTTAAATGTATTAAATTATTTTTTGAATAAAGCCAAGATATCTGTTTAAAATGAATAGAGTTATTTTGGATCCTTTGGACAATAAATAAACTTTAATGTCACAAACTAGCGGCGCTCTGATGGTAAAAATGATAAACAGTTAACAAGGTTTCCCTACATTCGTTTTTTGGCTCTTGTCTGTTACCATGGACACGAGGACTAACAGTGTGTGTGGTTGCTCTACAGGCAGATGAAAACCTGGGCATGGTGATGATCTTCACGCTGGTCACGGCCGTTCAGGACAAACTCAACGAAATAGTGGATTTGATGAAAAACAGACGTGAGGAGGAGAAGCGACGGATAGATGAAGAGGAAGAGGAGGCAGAGAAGGTGGGAACATTTCACATACACGTGATAAGTTTTACATTAGATATACTTTATTGATCCCAAATTGGGAAATTGTTTAGTTATGGCAGCATGTTTACGAGGCATTTCACATGTAGGAATAGGAACAAATAAATATAAACTGTAAATATATACAAATCAACAGTAGTAATATAAGTATCTGAGGAATGCACAAAACTAAAATAAATAGAATACGTTTGAAAACCCTGTAATATTCCAAATCACTACCAAAATATATACACATAGGATACTATATACATTATAGAAGGATGCAATACGATCATTATTAAATATTGTGAGTCAAGTCGTTCAGTTAGATGTTCAGATCTGGTCTAAAGCCAGAGACTTTTCTGAGCTCTGAATCCACACTTTGGTTATTTTCCGCAGCAGTATTAAGAAGTTCAGTCTAGCATTTGAAGTTGAGTATAATGATAAATGTGTGTTTATCAGGTGGCCTTCCAGGGCACCGTAGTAACAATCGAGAACTTCCTGGCGTGGAGAGGCAGGTTTGAGCTGGAGATGGCCGAGCTGAGGAGTAAAAGACAGAAAGAAGAGGAGCAGGCGGGAAAAATCAAACTCTCTGGTAAACACTGAGTCTTTTACTCAACATTTCTCCATCAAGGCTCTATGAAATACTAAAGAAAATGTGTCCCTCCCCAGGTAAACAGCTGTTTGAGACAGACCACAACCTGGACACATCGGACATTCAGTTCCTTGAAGACAGTGAGTGTTTAAACTGATGTTGTTATCATTGTTGTTCAATTGAATCGGATGTGATTATATGGTCAAAACATGTTGGAGACTTGTGGGGCTATAGAGCCCTGAAAGAACGTCAAGAATATGATAAAGGGCCCTATCATACTTTTTGGAGCTTTCCCTTTCCTGTAGTGTGTTCTATAGGTTGTTGAGCATGTATATTGTCTGCAAAGGCTCAAATCCCAAAGTTACCTTCAGAGGGAGTTTCTCTCCCACACACTGTGACCTGGGGCCTCATTTATTCACGTGGGAAGGTTGCTTACGTAGTAGAAATCCAAAAAATAGGTACAGAAATGTTCCGACATTTTCCGATTCACCAAACATTGCGTACCGACGAGGAAAGTGCGTACAGCACTTCCTACGTCGGTTTCCCTTTATAAATCACAATCGACTCGAAATGCGGTGCAGCTTTTGCGGGCTTCACGTAACGCCCATATTAGCCTATAAATAGTCAAAGAAACGCCCATTCATTCATTCTGACTGACTGCATGAAGAAGATTGCAGGAAATGACGACAGAACAGCTAAAAAAGACATCTCACACCGTGTCAGATTTTGGTTATTTTGGGGAGGTGGAGATAAATCATATTGTTTGGTGGATGCAGTTTGAACCAGAGTAGCAGCATGGAGGTCGGATCGTCACCAAAATAAATAAATAAATGGCCCGAAAAAGGTTAATGACAAAAACAATACACATAGCCTTCCTCAGGCAGTGTGTTTGTACCGGGGACAGGAGACCCCCCCTTGATGAGAGACTGTAAGACATGATCGGGGAATCCCTCCGGAGTGGAGTCATGACGACTGGATCTGAATTATGTTTTTGTATTTGGTGGTTTGTGTCCCAGCTGTCGATCAGCTGTGCGCAGCGTCTCCACTGCAGCCTGTGCATCTCAACCCCCCCCCCCCGCAGCAACCCTATATCCAGTTAAAGGAAATACAACCAATGTGTTGTGTTATATTAGCTGTACAATTGACCACATATGGTGTTCTTAGCTTCCATACCTCCTGTGTTTTACGAGCGACTTATCAAGTCTTAGCAAACGGCATAAAACACGATTAAACGTGATAGTATATAAAACCATGCTCGTATCACAACCTATAGAAATGCAACACGGCGTCAGTTTAGACGTAATTCTGTCCTCCTGCTTACCGCATCATTTATGAGAAAACATTTCATAACATTAACACAACATATTCGAGGTGGTTTTAAATAACATATCCGTATTTATTTATTTCTCCAAGTTATATTTTTGTGTGCACTGAGGAGTCGCAAACAGGCGTTTGTTTAATCATTTTAAGATTGGCTTTAATCAATGTTTGAAAATGAATTCTTCCTATATGATAAATGAGAGGTAACATTTTATTTATGGTATTATTTCCACATATTTCTCTCCATTCTTCCTTCTGCCAACGGTGTTGCAGTTTCTCGTCTCTCCCGTTGTTGTGCTTAGTGCGTACGCATGGGTTAGAGTTTGCGTGGAGGACCGCACGTTTTCCCGTCAAGTTAGTATTTTATAAATCGCAAACATTGCGTAGAAACTGGCGTACGCTATTTTTTGAGCGTATATCGCTTTATAAATGAGGCCCTGAACATTTAAGCATTTACACATGTCACAGTAGAGGCACAAATATGAACATGAAAATTAGCATTCATTAATTAATAACGCTAATCTTTAATGTTCTATTCAAACTCAAACCTGCTCCCTCCCTCTGCAGCCGGAAACAACGTGGAGGTGGATGAGTCCCTATTCCAGGACATCGAGGACTTGGACCTGGATGAGGACGACCCGGACTTTGACCCTTTAGCCATGGGGAGTGACGAGGACTAAAGCAGGAGAGGACAGACTGACGGTCAGAACAGACTGCTCCTCGGGAATATGATCTGACAGGAATATGATCTGATGTGTCTAACATCACAATTACCTTTCAAAGACTCTAACAGCAGCTGCAGAGGAATTCCTCAGAAACAGAAACGCATACATTTTTCATTTCTATGCCCCAACAATAAAATTGACAAAATAAACCTGTGTCCTGGCTCTGTTTGACCCTGCCGATGGCACTAAAGCATTCCGCCTGCCCTGGGGAGGCAAGAATATATCAGTATACTTCATTAGCATGATAATTTAAAAAAGAGGTGGATAAATACAGATTCAATGTTTCCCTCTTTAATGGGGGAGCAGCAAACCATTAAAATACTCAAGGAAATACTTCAAAACAGTACACTAAGTTTTTCCATAAAATACTTTAGTTAATATATGTACTCAACATTAGAGTACAACTACTGATCATCATTTTAACTCTAATTACTTGAGTGAAGGATAATAGTATTGCTTGTAACAAATGATCAATAACCTGTAGAGTAACACATAATCCCCCCCCATATAACATGGGGGCATCTCACAGTGGAACTTACTCGTGCTGTCCGTCACATAGACACTGTTTAGCTGAAACTCACACAATGCTTCACTTCACACACACTGTTATACGACGCATAAGCACTCAGTGATGGAGCAGCATGATGAGGATTCACAGTGGAGTATATCATCTATGTATTAGAGTCCATACACAAAAGACGGAAAATAAGACACACTTTTCAAAAGCATCTGTGTTTATTGAGTTGACAAACAGTGATACAAGTTAAAGTACAATAATTAAAAATATATAATCTAGTGCTGGAACTGTTTATATATATTTGCATATACATGCGTATGTGTATATGTATAAAATATTATTGCAAGTATGCCTAAATCAATGTGAATCATTAGAAAGGAAATAGACGTATACTTTATGTAATCCACCTGGTAGTTCTTCCATGTTCATACATTACACAAATATGACAACCGTCAAACAATGATTTATGTGACGAAAGACTTCACAACATCTACTGGATGATCAGAAGAAAATTAAGTCCACTAATATATTATATAGTATACAGTAGTATAGTTTTTTATATAGTGGACCACTGTATTGAAATGAAGCTTTTCATAGATTTAAAAATCGTTCTGAAATGCATGTAAACTAAAAGCTGCCTGGATGAGTATGCTTTGGAAACTGTAGTAGAGTAAAGTGTTATCCCAGGCTAACATGTACAGAGACTGAAGGAATGAGATAGCTAACATAGTGTTCATCAAGCTGCAACTTGATCACTAAATGTCCCGGATAGCCCAGATAAAACGTAGAGGGGTGTCCTTCATCTCTCTTTGGAAGACCTGGTCCAACCTCTCGCTCTGGGCCACAGTGAAGTGATGCTTCCAGTCACCGATGGTGCCTAATGTTTACAACATGAAGGAGAAGGTTGTAGTCATACACACTCACTGCCATGGATATTTAGTCTCGATAGTTAGGCTTTTCCTGAAGTACTTCATTTTTTTGTTTTGTGTTGTCTCTACTTCAACCCATCTTGTCTACAGTGGTCGACAACCCTTTCTATTAGAAAAGCCATTTTGCCACAAAATAAAATTTGTCTGGAGACACAAAACATATTTGATAACAAGTTGTTTTGTCCAGTTATGATGTATATAATACAACTATAGTTTGTTGCATTTATGGATTTGTAGATAATCGAAAAAGGAACAGCAAAAAGTTATAAATTAAGAAGCAGAAAATGCTGTGTCCTTGTTCTGGAATGTTTTCAAAATATTTCATTTTTTGTGGTTTGCTAATCTCTCACATTCTCTTTAAATTGTTATTGCTGGCAGTTAAGGCAAAGGATTCTAAACACACATATTTAAACTATTTTTCATAGGGGACTTTTTGGGGGGGATTTATCTATGGTTAGCCAGGGGTCAGTAACTCAGGATTAGCCACCCTGAGGGAAAAGCACCAGGACATAGAAGGATGCAAATATATAAATATAAGTTGACAAAACATTTAGAAAAATGTATTTCAGTGTCACAGTATCTCCGCATACTCCAAGATAAAATATGTTCCTTTCAAAATATTGTCCACTGTACAAAAAAGTTAAATAATATGGCCCTCATTTATGTCAAAGCTTCAGGAAGAAGGCTCAAGAGGCTCAAGAGCTGCGGGTTGCCAACCCTGCAAAGAAAATGCCACTGTAGCAGCTATAGTTAGGGCTACATCTGCTTTAGCTAATGCTACAGCTGCTATAGTGCCTTAGCTGCTTTAGCTAATGCTACAACTGCTATTGTTAGCGCTACAGCTGCTTTAGCTGGTGATACAGCTGCTATAGTTAGTGCCTCAACTGCTGAAGCTAGTGCTACAACTGCTATAGTTAGTAGGTAGTTCTATATCTGCTTTAGCTAATGCTACATCTGCCATAGTGCCTCAGCTGCTTTAGTTAGTGCTACAGCTGCTTCAGTTAGCTTTAGTTTACTTAACAATTTAGTTGTTTCCTGCATTTCAAGGTAGACAAGTCACATTTCCACTAACATTAATAAGCCAACAGCAAGGGAAAAAGGTCAGCTTCAGAATATTTGCACGGTGTGTGGTTGCAACACAGCCTCACGGCATATCATGTTATAGTCACGAAATTCATCTATTGATTCGTGTCACACAGAACGATTTTAATTTTAAAATCGTACGTTTACGTTGCTTTTAAGCAACGTAAATAATAACAAATTAGAAGGAAAAACAGATTACAAAAAATACATATTTCAGTATTCTGACACAGAACAATTTTAGAAGCAATGTATTTCTATTGGTAGTATGTTTCGTGCCTGCACTAAATAATAACAAGTTAGAAGGAAAAAAATGACAAAAAATACAGATTTCAGTATTCTGAGGCAAAAAAACTCAGACATTGTACAATTTAAAATAAAAGGGATATGGTTAGGCTTAGGGTAAGATTGAGTAAGAAAATGATTTTATGAACCACACAGCTTCTGGTATTCCAAGACCCGACCGGACAAAAAGACGTAAGCACGAAACATAGCCTACTACCAATAGAAATATATTGCTTTTAAAATCGCTCTGAGTGACACGAAAATCGTGTTGGTGAACACGAATCAATAGATTAAATTAATTTCGTGCATATAACACGAAATGCCGTGTAACTGGGTTGGGGTGGTGCAGTGGTTGAATTCAGTGAACTGTATGTTGAACCTCCCACACATTATGGTGGCAATTAACTTAGCATGTGCCACAGAGGATGGGGATGATAAAATTGGATGCTGAGTGTCTGTAGACACCAGGAATTCTCATGGACCCCCTGCTGACCCATGTGTACCAAACATCCCAAAGGATCCGATTATTACTTTATTAAGAGGTGTTCTTTGTAGTGAACACAGCGTGGGCAGAGAACAGAACAGAGATAAATATTGGACTCACTGTTATCTCATGGACACAAACACAACTGAATGATAATGGTAGATAGAAAAGTGCTGATGTGCAGTGGTGGGAAGAAACTAAGTACATTTACTCAAGTACTGTTCTTAGCTACACTTTTAAGATTCTAATATTTGACTTGAGTATATCCATTTTATGCTACTTTGTACTTCTACTCCACTAAATTAAGTTACTTTTAGTACCTTTAGTTACTTTACAGATTTTGATTAATGATGTGAAATATAATCAACACTTAAATAAGACTTTTGTTACACCTGGAGTAAATCCACAAGCTGTACCCTGCGGGATACAAAGGTTAAGTATCAGAGATTGACACCTAACAAAAGGAATCAGTAATCTATGTATCTAATCATCTACATCTTCCAAAATCTTAAAGCTCAAGTCACCTGTCCAGTGTGCCCTAAACTCTTTGCTGCTCAGGTCATCTGCTACCTGCACCTTCCGCCGTACACACTCTTACCTTTCCTCATGAATCTTCCCTCGTGGTGGCTGAACAGGTCATCTGGAACCTGCTCGTAGTTGGCCTTAGGGATCTTCTTCATGTTGTTGAAGGTACTGTGCTTCACCACGTTGGCCAGCTGCTCAGGATTCAGCTCTTTCTCCAGGAACACAGAGATCCTCTGCACTGCTGAATGCAGGTCCTGGACCAACATGAAAGGAAATGCACTTTTTTGTATCTGATCCTTCTAAACAAAAGCCTACAACATGTGTAATGATTGTAGCTTATAACGATTGATGCTTATGGACATGATTAAATGATTTCAGGTCCTACTTGAATCATTTCTTCATAAGTGATGAACAACATGTTCATATCATCCTTATGCGAGTACCAAGTCTTAACGTGCTCAAACCAGCTGCACCCAAACACTGCAATGAATAATGCACACAGTTACCACCACAATGCAGACATGCATCATGAGCTGCTCACAAAATACCACAGGCAACATTCTCTGACATTATTTTGCAACTGAAGACAACTCACCATCTCCTCTCATGAATTTCTCGAAGAAGTCATCGAAATCCTTCGGGGTTTCCAACATGTTTGCGAGCTTATGGAAGTAGAAGTAAGATACAAGGACGTCTTTGGGATTTCTTGCCACGTAGATCACCTTCAACAGGAACAATTACTTAAATAATACAAATAACTGTAATAAAAATGAGTGTCCCATACCACATTGTAGTGTGTTAGTACATGTTTGTATAGTGTATAAACAGGGATGCAAGAAAGGCTTTATTTTCATGTGCAAAGTAGCTACAGTGTATATTTGGCAATGAACAACTTAAGTCACAGGCTCCTCCAACATTGCAACATGAATATATATAGGACATAATATAAATTAAACAAATTAAATACAAATAATGAAATAAATAACAGAATATAAATAAAGTAGTGCAGGAGAACGTTGCAAGATGTGCAAGTAAATAAAATAAAATATAAATAATCCAAGAAGAGTCTATATACTACGGAGCCCCTAAAGGGACATGTAAAAAAAAAAAAAAAACAGAGAGAAAAAAAAAAGTCAGGATAACGAGTTAGTATCTCACGAGATACTAACTCGTTATCCTGACTTTTTTTTTACTAACTCGTGCGCACTTTTTTTTGTTGAGAAAGTTACTGGTGCGCCAAGGAGGAAGTGAAGTGCACAGGAGACAGCCATTTCATTGCAGACTGTTATGTTTACGTGGGGAAATGACAGTGCATACATTATTTGAGATATATATCGTACTTAGACGGCTAGTGACGGGCGGCCCACTTTGGTACCGGCCCAATGGGATTCGTCCCGAACGTCCCGATGGCCAGTCCGCCAGTGGCTCTGTGTGTGTGTGTGTGTGTGTGTGTGTGTGTGTGTGTGTGTGTGTGTGTGTGTGTGTGTGTGTGTGTGTGTGTGTGTGTGTGTGTGTGTTTGTTTCCCTATAAAACAGTATCTGAGAGTCACGGACATTAATTCATAGATCAAAGCAGACTGGTTTACAGACTCGCCAGTGTTTTGCCAATCTGGTGCTGAAACCAATAGCTCTACACCCCTGGCCGAAATGTCCATAAAATTAAGTCTGACTTAAAAATATATCTCAAATAATGTATGCACTGTCATTTCCCCACGTAAACATAACAGTCTGCAATGAAATGGGTTGTCTCGTGTTCCACTTCCTCCTTGGTGCATCGGTAACTTTCTAAAAAAAAAATAAAGTCAGGAAAACGGATTTGTTTCTCGTGCGCACGAGAAACAAATCCGTTTTCCTGACTTTATTTATTTTCTCTCTCTCTTTTTTTTTTCCATGTCCGTTTAGGGGCTCCGTAATATACACGTAAATGGAACATGATATATATATAAATAAATAGCAAGATGCAAACAGATGAATGTTTCTGGAGGCACTTTACAGAGCTCATGTTTAATGGTCTTATGGCCTGTGGAATGAAACTGTCTCAGTTGTGTCTTGTTATTGTCGGGGAACATAAAAAAGACAGTTTTCTAATAGTTACATCTTATTTTGCAACATACACACACCTATTCAAATATCAAAAATATTTCCGTTACTTTAAAAATAAATGTTAAATGACCCGTTCCTTGCAATCATTCCAAAGAAAAGCGAGAAGAAACAACATGTGTGAGAACACATTATCCTGCACGATGATGGCTAAAATGATATTAATGTTTTACCTTAATTAATATTGAGATCATGATCATATATCATGATTATTAACCGGTGTAAGTGCTAGGTTAGTTGAAAGCAATAATATTAAGTTGCATCTAATATTTGTTATTTAAACTTAATATTATTGCTTCTAACTAACCTTATACAGTTATGTAAAATCCGTCGACATAATACATTCAATTTAAGTCAACATTTCAGTTTTTTCAGTGTAGATGAATGAAACAATCTCTAACACTGGCTGCTGTCTGACTGTTAGTGAAGGGAGCATTTGATATCCAGCTGTGTTTTTAAGGAGGGGAGCACGTATTTGAATTGCATTTGTTTGTAAACATATACATTGTTTAAGGTATTAGAGGCTGATGGGGTACGAGCGTCGGCCCCCGTGTGTGAACCCCAGACAGCCCTGGCCCAATTTACCCCCTGCTTATAAATACTAAATATGGGGACATAAAGATTTGTGTAACACATGTGAGAGAGCTGACCTTGCCCTTCTTCAGGCTCAGAGCAGAAGGCATGAACTGGTACTGCAGGTGGGTGACCCTCATCCTGGGGGAGGGCGCCGTGATGAACGTCTGTCTGCTGCCATTCACCTCAATCCAGGGGATGAGATCAGCGTTGCAGGAGTTGCTGAGCCTGCTGATGGCTGCCAGGTCTCCCTTTGCTTCGAGGAGTAGCAAGATCTGCTGCATCCAGATGGTCCCTGACACACACATCGCAGAGAGAGTGAGCTCTGTCCAGGGACTGTTTTCAGAGTACACTCTGCTCTAACTGATCATTTGACTCCCAAATCTATTCGCAGCACACAAAAAGACGGAGATTCATGTGTACACCAGTGGTGTAAAGTAACTAAGTAGATTTACTCAAGGACTGCACATTAGTACAATTTTGCGGGACTTGTACTTAACTTGACTTTTTTGATTTCTTCTTTTTTGATTTCTTCTACTCCAATACAATTCAGAGGAAAATTGTGTACTTTTACTCCACTACATTTATGTAATACCTTTAGTTACTTTGCTGATTTGGATTAATGATGTGAAATATAATCAACTCTTAAATTAAATTAAAGTAAAACAAAAATGAAAAGCACTGATAGAAAACTATTTTAAGAAAACTATAATAACATAAAAATATATAAAAAAATATAGCAGTATTTACATTGAATAATAATGAAATCAGACTTTAGTTCCACCTGGAGTGAATTCACAAGCCACCCTGCAGTATACAAAGTCATTACAACTAGCTGCACCTTTACCAGCTTTGAGAACACGTTCATGATCAATCATTATAAAACATATCGTATATATTATTCTGAAATCTGCATAATGAGTAATTTTACTTTTGGTACTTTTAGTATATTTTAATGCTAATACTTCTCTAATTTGACTAAGCACACTGACTTGAGGTGACCCCCTCTCTTCAGGACCCCTCTCACCTGACTTTGGGTATGTGACCACAAACACATCGGAGTCTCTGATCTCCAGGTCGTTGATCTGGTCCACATCGTCTGGATCATGAGTGCCGCTGATCAGAGTGAAGCCTCTGTGTGGCACTAGCTCATACTCACAAGTCTCTACTGCCATCATAGCTATAAAGCAAGACAAAAAACACGTGTTCAGCCCCCTTTCTTATTTGAAATGTCTAAAACAGCAGTTCTTTTTGATTTGATGCTCCATGGATACATATTAACTCTTTCATGTACACTCTCCTATTTAGCTTTGATTTGATCATTCCTGACTTTGATTACATCTGCAGAAGAAGATGCTCTACCAATAAAAAAATACTGTCGAGAAAATCTATCTATTTTAAAGTGGCTCCCAAGGGCCCCATATAATCAGTGAAAGGCTGAAAGAAGCAATGCACAGAAAGTGATCCACATGTAGCATACCTGCTCTGCTGCCGATGCTCCAGTGTCTGCCAACACCAGGAAATGTGTCTCATCAACAAACTGTCCTGAAACCTGACCCGACGCAACCCCCTCCTTCACACTGCGAGGAACAGAGAGATTCCCCTTTTCCTTCTCCCCCCCCTGTGTGGGGAACAGCGAGCTTCCCCTTCTCCTGCTCCCCCCCTGTGTGGGGAACAGCACATTCTAGAGCCGCCCCACAGCAATACACAGAAACAGAACAATCCTCAAGCAGCTTGCGCAACGTCAAAACAAGGTTCTGTTTTTACACAAGGAGCACTGATCCAAGTGACACTAATCAAACAGTGTGGAGGCTGTACCTTCAGTAAGGGGGAGGGGCGGGAAGTGATACCTAACCATAAAATAAATCCACTATCAACTGTTCTGTTGTCTTAGTCCACTAGTTTAATGACCCATGCATACTGTAAGATCACAGAAGCTGAGTTGTCCTGTATCCTAGTTACCTGTACAAAATGTATTTAGTAACCTAATCAGAGGGTCAAAATATAAAGGTATTGTCACCAGATTACTTTTCATTACCTCAGTATCAAATGCAATGCAAACAATAGAAAATAAATATCACTAAGATGTTTTTACGTAAGTGTATGATGTAAGACAACAGAACAATATCACCTTAGAAAATAAAAAAACAAGATATTTAGTATGTAAAATGTGTCCTCTGCTCAGAGATTTTATTCATAGGGAAACCTGCCATTCATGAAGCATATGCAGGCAGCAGACTATACACCAACAATGAAACACATGAGCACATACTACAGTTTAAAAAAGCAGAAATACAATCTGATCTGACCACAGAAAAAGCTCACACACACTATATTATGAACATATAGGTGAATTAAAACAAGAACAACTAGGTTATGAAAACCATGAAGCAGATTCAGGCAGTAGGCGTAGAGATTCACACTGAAAGTATTAGCCTAGAACAGTAGAGTTTACAGAGAAGAGATAACATCTGATCCTTTTACAACAAACACTATGCTTTTTTAAAAATCTTTTACTAACATTGTAATCTTGCTTTTCATTTTTAGAAATATAACAGTAGTCTGGTAACACCTTTAATTTAATGCAACTGTAAGAGAAATCGGTTCCCTTGTTTTTATATCCTGGTTTCATTACATCTAATCTGTTACTCTCCAAACCTGTGTCCTTAGTGCCAATGTAATCCTGCAAGTAATCCCCAATTTTCGGAAATGTAATTAATCTGATTACGTATTTTTTATATAACTGTAAGGGAATACAGTTACCTTTTTTTTGTATCCTGTCCTCGGTGGAGTGGATTGGTCGTTACACTTTTTACTTTCATTCCATTCCCTCAGACTGTATCCTTGATAGAGTGTGTAAGTGTCATCTAAGAATGGAGTGACAAGGACTCATTAAACGTATCAGCTTCCCCTCGAGGTTAACCTTTGACCTTATTGAACTGTGATCATTTCCTAGAAGTGCTTCTGTCAGCTGCTACTCCATAAACAGGACCTCTCACACGTTCACTGTGAATAACTGAACAGCATGGAGAACAGAGTTTTTTCAAAATGTTTATTAGAAAAACAACTACAATAAATAGTTCCTGAAATGAGAAATCACATGTTTATTCACAGTAAAAACAAAAACAAGAGATAAAGTGTCTTCTTCCTCTCATGGGATCCTCTCTGCACATAATGTTCTGGAGCCCACGATGCGCCTCTGCGAAGAGATCAACAGACAGAGATCAATACACTGACACACACACACACACACACACACACACACACACACACACACACACACACACACACACACACACACACACACACACACACACACACACACACACACACACACACACACACACACACACACACACACACACACACACACACACACACACACACACACACACACACACACACACACACACACACACACACACACACACACACACACACACACACACACACACACACACACACACACACACACACACACACACACACACACACAGGATGCAAACTCATCAGGTATGAAAAAAGTGACAAGGACCCGAGCCCCCCGACCCCACGGAATATCGGCTTTAAAATGAGGAATAACAGGATGTTAGCAGTCAGAACAACTAAAGCAGCAGGTAATAATAACAGAAACGCCAAAGAGTCACATCTGATAGAAATATATAAAAGCATTTATTTTAATTGTGTAGCAGTCAGTTTATAATTTTGGCAGCACTGTTGAGCATTTTGAAAATGTATTTTCATGCCTCTGTGCAAGGCTTAGTCTTTCTATCTGTATAGCCACTGGTGTAAAGTAACTAAGTTCATAAACTCAAGTACTATACTTGGGTACAATGTTGAGCTACTTGTACTTTACTTAATTATTTCAATGTTTTGCTACTTTGTACTTCTTCTCCTCTACAGTTCAGAGGTACATGGTGTACTTTGACTCCACTACATGTATTTAATACCTTTAGTTACTTTACAGATCTGGATGAATGATGTGAAATATAATCAAGTTTTAAATCAGACTTTAGTTCCACCTGGAGTAAATCCACCAGCTGCCCTGCAGTATACAAAGTCATTCAAACTAGCTGCACCTTCACCAGCTTTGAGAACACTTTAATGATCAATCATTATAAAACATATCATATATATTATTCTGAAATGGACCAATCTGCACAACGACTACTTTTACTGTCGCTACTTTCACTATATTTTGATGAGAATACTTTTCTACTTTTACTTGAGGAACATTTTGAATGCAGGACTTTTACTGTAACAGAGTATTCCTACACTCTGGTACTTCTACTTTTACTCAAGTACAATATCTGAGTACTTCTACTTTTACTCAAGTACAAGATCTGAGTACTTCTACTTTTACTCAAGTACAAGATCTGAGTACTACTACTCTTACTCAAGAACAAGATCTGAGTACTTCCACTTTTACTCAAGTACAAGACCTGAGTACTTCTACTATTACTCAAGTACAAGACCTGAGTACTTCCACTTTTACTCAAGTACAAGACCTGAGTACTTCTACTTTTACTCAAGTACAAGATCTGAGTACTACTACTCTTACTCAAGAACAAGATCTGAGTACTTCCACTTTTACTCAAGTACAAGATCTGAGTACTTCTACTTTTACTCAAGTACAAGATCTATACTTATACCACCTCTGTTTATAGCCTATGAAAAAAACTATTAGAAAACGAAGGCTAAAGCTAACGTTAGCTGATAGTGACAATATATGCTAGTTAGCCAGCTCAACGATAATATTGCGACAGAAACACTTTTCAGTTCACATCACGCTCTGCCGCTCTGCTCTGAACACCTGAACGGCCCGTTCTAACAGCTGTTCACCAGCGGTCCAGTCTGTGCCACAGTGACTCCGGACCACAGTTAATATTAACGAACGCACCCGTAGGTAATGTAGCTGCTGAAGCTAGACCATCATCGCGGCCGCAGATTACTCCGGGTCCCAGACCCCCCCCATACCCCAAAAATATTTTTATTGCAGATCTACATGAATCACACACACGACCTATTTTGGATTCAAAACGGCGAATTTCGCCGAAAGGTGACAAGTTTGTATCCCTGACACACACACACACACACACACACACACACACACACACACACACACACACACACACACACACACACACACACACACACACACACACACACACACACACACACACACAGACACACACACACACACACACACACACACACACACACACACACACACACACACACACACACACGGGATGCAAACTCATCAGGTATGAAAAAAGTGACAAGGACCCGAGCCCCCCCGACCCCACGGAATATCGGCTTTAAAATGAGGAATAACAGGATGTTAGCAGTCAGAACAACTAAAGCAGCAGGTAATAATAACAGAAACGCCAAAGAGTCACATCTGATAGAAATATATAAAAGCATTTATTTTAATTGTGTAGCAGTCAGTTTATAATTTTGGCAGCACTGTTGAGCATTTTGAAAATGTATTTTCATGCCTCTGTGCAAGGCTTAGTCTTTCTATCTGTATAGCCATTGGTGTAAAGTAACTAAGTTCATAAACTCAAGTACTATACTTGGGTACAATGTTGAGCTACTTGTACTTTACTTAATTATTTCAATGTTTTGCTACTTTGTTCTTCTTCTCCTCTACAGTTCAGAGGTACATGGTGTACTTTGACTCCACTACATGTATTTAATACCTTTAGTTACTTTACAGATCTGGAAGAATGATGTGAAATATAATCAAGTGTTAACTCAGACTTTAGTTCCACCTGGAGTAAATCCACAAGCTACCCTGCAGTATACAAAGTCATTCAAACTAGCTGCACCTTTACCAGCTTTGAGAACACTTTAATGATCAATCATTATAAAACATATCATATATATTATTCTGAAATAAACCAATCTGCACAACGACTACTTTTACTGTCGCTACTTTCACTATATTTTGATGAGAATACTTTTCTACTTTCACTTGAGGAACATTTTGAATGCAGGACTTTTACTGAAACAGAGTATTCCTACACTCTGGTACTTCTACTTTTACTCAAGTACAATATCTGAGTACTTCTACTTTTACTACAAGATCAGAGTACTTCTACTTTTACTACAATATCTGAGTACTTCTACTTTTACTCAAGTACAAGATCTGAGTACTTCTACTTTTACTCAAGTACAAGATCTGAGTACTACTACTCTTACTCAAGAACAAGATCTGAGTACTTCCACTTTTACTCAAGTACAAGATCTGAGTACTTCTACTTTTACTCTAGTACAAGATCTGAGTACTTCTACTTTTAATCAAGTACAATATCTGAGTACTTCTACTTTTACTCTAGTACAAGATCTGAGTGCTTCTACTTTTACTCAAGTACAAGATCTGAGTACTTCTACTTTTACTCAAGAACAAAATCTGAGTACTTCTACTTTTACTCAAGAACAAGATCTGAGTACTTCTACTTTTAATCAAGTACAATATCTGAGTACTTCTACTTTTACTCTAGTACAAGATCTGAGTGCTTCTACTTTTACTCAAGTACAAGATCTGAGTACTTCTACTTTTACTCAAGAACAAGATCTGAGTACTTCTACTTTTAATCAAGTACAAGATCTGAGTACTTCCACTTTTACTCAAGTACAAGACCTGAGTACTTCTACTTTTATTCTAGAACAAGATCTGAGTACTTCTACTTTTACTCAAGTACAAGATCTATAC